CCCCAAAACCCCAAAACCCCAAAACCCCAAAACCCCATTCATTAACAAATCTCTATTTTATTTTATAATACAAATCTCAAACATGGAAGAAGACTCCTCCATCTTTTCAAGCATCTCAGAAAATGAGACTAAATATATTCAACTCAAAATAGGCAGCTTGTTAAACCGCTCATTCACTGAATTCATCTCCCAGGCTAAGAAGTCAGGGGACTACAAAAAGTTCCTGAAAGCGCAAGATCTCCAAGAAGAAGGGGAATATCATTTCATTAAGACTGATAAGGAGCCGAGCAGTCCAATGTCCAAGTCTGAGTCTGAAGACCAATTTGACCCTGCTCATGAGTTTATAGAAATTATTTGTAACGTACCTAGCTCTGAAGAGCTCAAATCTAGTGGAAACTCCATCCCAAACCAGAAATATCTAAAGAAAAAGAGAAAGGCTGTTTTCAGTAACCCTGAAGATGTATTCAACCAGGAATCCTTTGTTCCTCCTAAGTATGAGAAGGCAGAGTCTGAGAGAGTCAAGATCAAGAACGCGCTGATGAATAATATGTTAACCAAAAAGCTCTCTGATGAGTCCATAAATACACTCATTGCAGCATTTCAGAAGAAAACTTTCAATAAGGACGATGTTATTATTCAATATGGCGATGATGGCAAGGAATACTTCGTACTTGAGGCCGGTGTCCTCCAGTGTGAAGTCTTTGATGAAGAGACCAAGGAATCTTCAGTCACTAGGACTATTACAGAAGGGAATGCTTTTGGAGAACTAGCCTTACTCTACCAAACGCCAAGATCTGCTACTATTACTGCTTTGACTGATTGTACCACCTGGGTTCTGGACCAGATGACCTTCAAAACTGTGATCATGGCTTCGGCTGTCAAAGAAAGGAATATTAGACTAAATTTCATTGACAACATTAAAGTCTTCGAAAAGATGAGCAGATATGAGAAAGTAAAGCTCTTAGACGGCCTTCAGGTCCAATACTTCGAGTCAAGCGATGTCATCGTTAAAGAAGGAGATGCAGGTGAATACTTCTACATCATTGAAGAAGGCAAAGTAGAATGTATCAAAGAAGATGGCAAGGAGATTATCAGAACTCTTGACCAAGGAGATTACTTTGGAGAGCTGGCCCTCATAGAGTCAGAACAAAAGAGGACCCTTACAGTAAAAGCTAAAAGCTTGTGTAAACTACTAGTCCTGAACAAGGACACCTTCTACAGAGTGCTTGGCTCATTCTCAAATTACTTGAAGAAGGATTACAAATTATAATTGAATAAAACTATTACTAGAACTAGAGTCAATTAATCTTTATTTAATAGGGGTTTTGGGGTTTTGGGGTTTTGGGGTTTTGGGGTTTTGGGG